CTCATCACCAACATTCATTCTCAGTATTGTCCCTCGTCACTAAACTTTGCCTACATTATTCTTCCTCGTCACTAACCTTCACCCACAGTATTGTCCCTCATCACTAACCTTTACTTAGGGGCATTGTCCCTTCTTACGATCCTTCATTCTCGGCATTGTCCCTAGTCGCTAACTTTCACCTACAAGAGGCTATTGTCCCTCATCACTAACCTTCATTCTCAGTACTGTTTCTCCTCACTAACTTTTATTCTCAGTATTGTGTCTCATCACTATCCTTCATCCACCTGTATTGTCCCTCGTCACTAACCTTTCTTTCTCAGAATTGTCCCTCGTCACTTACCTTCACCCTCAGTATTGTCCCTCGTCAATAACATTCTCGGTTTTGTCCCTCATCAATAACTTTCATCCTCAGTATTGACCCTCGTCAGCTACCTTCACCCACAGTAATGTCTCACTAACGTTCTCCCTCAGTATTATCCCACGGGTCTTCTTCAATCTCAGTAATACCCCTCGTCACTAACCTTCACCCTCAGTATTGTCCTTCGTTTATAACACTCTCAGTACTGTTCCTCATCACTAACCTTCACCCTAAATATTGTCCCTCGTCACTAACCTTCACTCATGTTACTTTCCCTCGTCTCTAACATTCATTCTCAGTATTGTCCCTCGTCAGTAGACTTTACCTACAGTATTCTTCCTCATCACTATCCTTCACCCACAGTATTGTCCCTCATCACTAACATTCACCCTCAGTATTGTCCCTCGTTACTAACCTTCGCCCTCAGTATTGTCTCTCTTCACTAACATTCACCCTCATTATTGTCCCTCGTTACTAACCTTCACCCTCAGTATTTTTTCTCTTCACCAACCTTCACTCTCAGTATTGTCTCTCATCACTAACCTTCCTCCACGGTTCTTGAAACAATCCACGACTGTTTCCTACGCCAACATATACCCGAACCCACCCGGGGTAATAATATACTCGATTTAGTTCTATCAAACAGAGGAAACCTCATTAGTAATATCGAGGTAGGGAATGAACTTGCTAACAGCGTTCACAAAGAAATAAGATTCCAATTAGAATTTCTGGTCAGCCGCAAGGAAAATGTCACTAATGTCCCAGATTTCAGCAGGGCAAACTTTGATATCTTGAAGAGGTAGCTGAGAGAAGGGGTATCACGTTTGGGGGGTGAATTACATGACCTCACACAATTTTCCCACAGAGGGCGACCTCACCTTACTCTGGAGATGTGACGGTTGAGGATGACCTGATCACGAGATCTGAGGTTGACGAATTCCACAACAATTTAAATTATGAGTTACTTTATGCACAAAAACAGAACATACCATACAGAAAACTCAGACCAAACAACAATGACCCTAAATGGACAAATAACTATATAAAGAATGTTATTGGACAATTGGAAGGCTATCGGTAGGAGAATAAATCGTGGTGAAGTTCACCTCCGAGATTATTATAAGGTATTGGCCGGTAGGATCAAGACCGAGATAAGAAAAGCAAAGAAGAATAATGAGCTGAATGTAACAAGTGAGGCGAGGTCAAACAGAGGATTCCATCAAATGTATCAAACTAAAACACGAGAAAAGATTGAACCAATACAGTCAGATACCGGCGAGCTAGCTGATAACGAGGGAGAAATGAGCAATAATCTGAATAAATATTTTTCAAAAGTTTTCACTACCGAAAATTTAAATATGAAACATGATACCCAAGGCACCGACTCTATACAGAGATAGTGAAGAAAATAAATTAAGTGAGAAAGAAGTGACTAGTAACGATGTTAGTAAGCAAATAGACAAACTAAAGCCTAACAAGTCACCAGGTCCCAATGAGATATTTGCCAGACTATTAAAGGAATGTGAGGAAGAGCTTAGTATGGCCTAAGCAAAGTTGTTTAACATGTCCTTAAAGATGGGTGTAGTACCAGAATCCTGTGAGATAGCTCCAGTAATACCGATTTTCAAGAAGGGAGATAGATCACTCTCCTCTAACTACCGCCCAATCAGTCTGATTTAGAATAGAGTTTGAAATGATTGCTTCCAGTAATTTGCCTACTATTGATGTTAGACTGATTGAACAGTAGTTAGAAGATATCCCCCTGAAATCAGGATTCTGGTATTTTAGTTTGTCAGTGCCTCCGAGTTTCATCATTTAAGTACTGTTGAAATTCACCCTCGTTATCAGTTAATCTTTCTCATTTAGTTTGACTATTGATAAAGTCTGGGGTTCTTCGCCTCCCTTGCTATCTTCACCTTATTATTCCTTTTTGCTTATCTCGGTCTTAACCCTACCGGCCATTACCTTATAATAATCCCGGAGGTAAATTTCGCCACGATTTATCCTTCTACCTATAGCCTTCCTTTGGCCAATAATGTTCTTTAAATAATTATTTATCCATTTAGGGTTATTGTTGTCTGATCTGATTTTTTGTATGGTATGTTCTGCCTTTGTGCATTAAGTAACTCCTTATTTAAATTGTCGTGGAACTCGGCAATCTCAGATCTCGTTATCATTTCGGTTTCAACCGTCAGGTTCATGGGTGGGGTGAGGTGGGTGTAGTTCACCCCCAAGCGTGATACTCCTTCTCTCAACTGCCTCTTCAAACTATCAAAGTTTGCCCTTCTGAAATCTGGGATTTTTGTGGAATTTTCCTTATGTCTGCCCTGAAAATCTTACTGGAATCTAATTTCTTTGTGAATGCTGTTTGCAAGTTCGTTCCCTACACTCCTCTATCACTCTATACACTCCTCTAACACTCTACACACCCCTCCTACACCACCCTAACACTCTATACTATCCTCTAACACTCTATACACTCCTCCTACACTACCCTAACACTCTATAAACTCCTCTAACACTCTACACACGCCTCCTACACCACCCTAACACTCTATACACTCCTCCTACACCACCCTAACACTCTATACACTCCTCCTACACCACCCTAACACTCTATACACTCCTCCTACACCACCCTAACACTCTATACACTCCTCCTACATCACCCTAACACTCTATACACTCCTCCTACACCACCCTAACACTCTATACACTCCTCCTACACCACCCTAACACTTTACACACTCCTTCTACACCACCCTAACACTATATACACTCCTCCTACACCACCCTAACACTCTACACACTCCTCCTACACCACCCTAACACTCTATACACTCCTCTTACACCCCCCTAACACTCTATACACTCCTCTAACACTCTAGACACTCCTCCTACACCACCCTAACATGGACCATTATTATTTATTATATACATTAACGACATAGATATCGGCATAGACAGCAACGTAAGTAAATTTACTGATGACACTAAAATAGGGCGTGTAATTAAATCTGACGAGGACTCCGCAAAACTACAGGAAGATCTAAACAAATATTTCGAATGGTCTGAAAAATGACTGATGAAATTCAATGTGGACATATGTAAAGTACTCACTATAGGAGATGTAAACTGGGAAACCAGTTACCAGATGAATAACGATGTTATTGAGAAATCCGACTGAGAGACGGAATTAGGAGTAATGGTTAAGTAGGAATCTTAAGCCAAGTAAACAATGAGTATTTGCTCGAAGCTCGGCTAATAAAGTACTTGGCTTCATACAAAGGAGTGTTAGTTACAAGACAAGTGAGGTCATCCTAAACCTAGAGTGAGGGGCGATATGATAGAGGTGTATAAATGGAAGTTAGTGTTAAACAAAGGGGACATTAAAAAGGTACTCGAACTATCCAACCATGGAGCTAACTTGTAACAATGGTTTTAAATTAGACATATTTAGATTTAGGCGTGAAATAGGTAAACATTGGTTTGGAAATAGAGTTGTGGACGAGTGGAACAAGGTAAAAAATATCATCATTAGCTCGAATACGCTGGATAGCTTCAAACATAGGTTGGATGGATATATGATCAATAGGGGTTGGGTGTAAATGGGACTGCCCAGTATGGGCCAATAGGCCCGCTGCAGTTTCCCCCATTCTTATGTTCTTATGTTCTTATGTTTTGTCCCAGGTCACTAACCTTCATTCTCAGCATTGTCCCTCGTCACTCATCACTAACCTTAACCCTCAGTATTTTTCCTCGTCACTAACCTTCACCCACAGCAGGCCATTGTCCTTCGTCACTAACCTTCACCCACAGTAGGCCATTGTCCCTCGTCCCTAACCTTCAAACACAATATTGTCCGTCGTCAATAACATTCATTCTCAGTATTGTCCCTCATCACTAACCTTCACCCACGACGTTGTCCCTCGCCACTAACCTTCACCCATGGCATTGTCCCTCATGACACCTTCATTCTCAGTATTGTCCCTCGTCACTAACCTTCATTCTGAGGTTTGTCCCTCTTCACACACATTCATTCTCATTATAGTCCTTCGTCACTAACTTTCAGTCTCAGTATTTTCCCTCATCACTAACCTTCACCCTCAGTATTGTCCCTCATCGCTAACCTTCACCTTCATTATTGTCCCTCGTCACTAACCTTCACCCTCGTTATTGTCCCTCATTGCTATCCTTCACCCTCAGTATTGTCCCTCGTCACTAACCTTCACCCTCAGTATTGTCCCTCGTCACTAACCTTCACCCACAGTATTGTCCCTCGTCCCTAACCTTCACCCACAGTATTATCCCTCTTCCCTAATCTTCACCCTCAGTATTGTCCCTCGTCCCTAACCCTCACCCTCAGTATTGTCCCTCGTCCCTAACCTTCACCCACAGTATGGTATTATTTCTCGTCACTAACCTTCACCCTCAGCATTGTCCCTTGTTACTAACCTTCACCTTAGTATTGTCCCTCAACACCAACCATCACCCTCAGTATTGTCCCTCGTCACTTACATTCACCATCAGTATTGTCCCTCATCACTTATCTTAATCAACAGTATCGCCCCTCGTCACTAAGCTTCACCCTCAGTTTTGTCTTTTGCTACCTACACGTTTTTCTTTTTACATCGGATGGCAGAAGAAAAGGATTCCCAGTACCTGATCAACACGCCTGGATGCACTATTCCAGACTTTCCTTTGGACGAGATTTTAAAGAATAGGAGGAAAATGCTTAAAGTAAGTGTTGAGTGATTTACTGAATGTGTGTGTGTGTGTGTGCGTGTGTACACACGCATCCACACACACACACACACATTCACATACAGTCACATGTACAAAGACACACACACACACACACACATACCCACATATATTCACATATGCACACACGTGCAATCATATATACACACTTATACACACACGTACACATTCACACATACACATACACATATACACATACATATTCACACATACACACATATACTATTACTACTTTGCAGTCACTCGGAAACGAGTATGACGATCATCCTGCCATGATACAATGATATGAGTTGATAAGGATGTTACCTTCGTTGGTGAGCTCTGAGGTGATTCGAGAGGCCAATATGGAATCGGCATGATCGTCCACAGATGCTGCACGTGTGGAGGGCTACATCTAGTGTGGGGAGGGCGGCGGCAGCGTCTCTCCGGCGTTGTCTCTTGTCTGCCTCGGTATGCAGTCGGGCTAAGTCGAAAGTATTGACACCTTTTCGTGTGGTGCTCCTCCAAAAGTTACGGTATTGGAGTGATATTCTCCCAGGTGAGGGGATCAATTTGGCACTTTTTCAGGTTAGTGTTAAGACTATCCTTATACCTTTTCAGTTGCCCACCAGCATTACGTTTACTAGTCAAGTGACTGTAAAGTAGCTGCTTTGGTAGTCTACTGTCGTCCATGCGGGTTACATGGGGAGTCTAATGTAGTTGTTCATGGATAATGGTAGCAGCGATGCTCCTACAGTTGGTGTCAGCGAGAATATTGGCATTTGTTCTCTTGTCTTCCCAGCGAACTTGGAGGATGGAACGTAGACTACGTTGGTGAAAATTGTCAAGTGCCTTGAGGTGCCTCCTGTATGTGAACTCTGTCTCGCTGCCATATAGCAGGGTGGGGAGTACCACAGCTTGATATGCATGCAAGTTTGTAAATAATTTCAGCACCCTACAGCTAAAGACAATGGTACGATCTGCCAAAAGCTTGAGATGCATATCTGATCTACGGTAATTGCCGCAGTCTAACCGGTCTCCCTTGTTCTTATAAATATTTACAATGGAGGCGTCCTTAAGAACTCTGGGGATTTTCCCCTTTTCCCATAGACTCTCCAGGAGCGAGTGGAGACGGCTAGTAAGCAGAGGTCCTCTTGCTTTATGCATCTCGGCTGGGATTCTATCAGGCCCTGAAGCTTTGTTATTTTTCATCTATTTGATGGCAGTTGCTACCTCATCCAGGGATGGAGGATAGCTAAGGTGGGTCAGGTCAGGATGTTGAGGGGCCTGCTGGGTAGTCAGGACATCCACATCGGTGTTTCAGTTGAGCAGCGAATGGTAGTTCTTTCCAGCATTGAAGGATGCCTACTTTGTCTTTAACTAGGGAGTGACCGTCGGATGAGCGGAGGGGGACCACGCCATGAATGATTGACCCATAAAATGTTTTAGTGAAATTGAAAAATTCGCACATCTTGTGTTAATATGTAAGTTTTTGCATATCACATGCATTATTTTTCAACTATTCCTTCTTTTGATTGCGAAGTTCGTGCCGGGCTACCACTTTCTTCTTGCGGAAAGTATCAGTTTTGTTCCAAGACTGGAGGTTGTTCTGCCAGTCAGTTAAAGCAGCACGCCTATTATCGACGAGTACGTTGATTTCCGCGTTAATTTCATCAAACCAGTCCTGGGGGTATTTTTATTCGATCTGGCCGAGGGTCTCCCTGCAGGTTTTTGTCATGACGCTGTCGAGAATACCCCATTAGGCAATGGGATTTGTGTTGTTTTTGTCGGGTTATTAGCCCATGTTCGAGCTGCTCTCTGAAAGCATGTGCTACCGCTGGATCCTCCAGATGCTTAGTGTTAAAACCTCTTCACCTCTTCTGGAGGCTTGCTGCTTTCGCCGTTTTGGGGCGGCATGAGGTGAAAGTTGTTAGAGCCACGCATTACTCGGGTGATGAGGACATCTCGACGATCTCTCTCTGACAATGATGTAATCAATGAGATGTCAGTGTTTGGATCGTGAGTGTTGTCACGAACCCTTGAACTTGTTGGCTTGCCTAAACAAGGTATTGGTGATAGTGAGGTTGTGTGCAGCACAATTCTTGAAGAGGAGTTGGCTATTGGGATTACACTTGCGTACTCCATTTTTCCCTATGGTTCCCTGCCATATGTCATTATCTCTGCCAACTCTGGCATTGAAGTCACCTAGACGCACAACCCTATCTTCACTGGGATAGAGGTTAGCACTGTGTCAAGGTCGACATAAAAGGCCTCCTTGATATCATCCTCTGCATTCAGTGTTGGGGCGTATGCACTGATGAAGAAGGCATGACGTTGGTAATTGAGCGGGACTCGGAGCATTCATGAGGAGCTCGTTATTCCCTACAGGCATTTCCGTTAGCCTATTGTCATGTGCCCATAACCCCATAGCAACAAGCATGTCGTGTGGTATCTGTTTACGCCTCCACTCCACACAAGCTATTAATGACTTGTTATTTTTACTATTATCTTATTGTTGTTCTTAGTTACTTAGGTTAATTGTTATCTATGTATGTCATTAATATGCATCATTTGTGTTACTCTGTTAAGTCAAACCAAGAGTAGTATTAATTAGTTATAAGACTATTTGGCAACTGTCCTGAGTCACGTGATCTAAGATGCTCCTCACTCATATGCTGGGTGGGCAGAGACTCTTTCTCTAGTAACCGTTGGTATAGGCTATAGGTAGGACGTGTCCACACCGACCCAGTACAGACGTGCTTTGTTCAGTCATCTACAATACCCTAGTGGTATCTGGTAATTAGTGGCACGTTAACTTAGGTCTAGGAAGGGATCCTGGTGTTAAGGAATCTCCTATTTGGTAGGAAATAACCAGTTGGTTGTGATTGCTGTGTATATATTGTGATGTCTGTGTTTAATATAGTTAATGTTAAGTAGTATTCATTTGATTTAACTCCTTAACGGTATATTTTCACCCTTCCGGCATCACTCTTATTTTAATATACAATCACTTATTCCCTTAAATTCCAGGGTTGCTAGACAGTATTTCCTTAAGAACATAAATTGAATTATTTAATTATCTTCCCATTTGTGACTCACTCCTACTTATTCTTATTTATTCAAGTACATTCAGTTGAGTCGGTTTTTGTGGGGATAATTATTGCCGTGTTCCCTGTTTGTTCCTTTATTTGATGATAACTTGGGGTAGGTTTCACTCCCCAGGTATAAAGGATATTGGGATCACGACAAGTGGGGGCCTTGGTCTGGGAGTTAGCCATTGTTGTGCCATATTAAGTGTTGTTCACTCGCCAGGTGTTGTTTCATAGCTAAGTATTTTTGGATGCAAGTTGCTGTGTTCACAGTGTTCATTTAATTATATTGCTCCTGTTTTATTACTTAAGCTACTGGTGAGTTAACCCTTATCCTTGTGTACCACGTGTTTGGTTAATCCCTTGCTGTGTTTCACAGTTGATTGCATTTTAATATTATTGATTAGCTAGCTAGTTAGCTTAGCTACCACGGTTACAATTTTTTAATGCTACGATTTTGGGTTCAACATGTTTGACCTGGAAAGCTTTTTGGCTTCACCTTCAGCCGAAAGACTGAAGGGGCTTACTAAGGCAGAGTGGCAATCCCTTGCTCATTATTATGATTTAGAAGGCCGCTCTTCCATGAATAAGGCTAGGTTAGAAGAGGCTGTCCTCAACCACCTTGTTGACAGTGAAATCATAGCCCAACCGTCGGGAAATTCAGGGGAAATTGTTACACCAAGTAATTTGGCCTTACAAGTTGAACTCAAAAGGCTCGAGGTGGAGCTGGAAACTCTCAAACAACGAGGTTTGTCTCAAGGTAGTGATACTTCAACATTTAGTATAGACATAGGTCTCAACAGTGTTCTTAAATTTAATGAGGAAGAACCAGACAAGTTCTTCTCTCTTTTTGAGAAAATTGCCCGACTTAACAAGTGGCCCGCTTCTCAATGGTCTCGACTTATTTATAGATCTTTCACTGGTAAGGCATTAGATGTGTTTTCTGCCCTCTCTGAGGATCAATGTCGAGACTATGCCCTTTGTTAAGTCCGCGGTTTTGAATAGTTATAAACTTGTTCCTGAAGCCTACCGGCAACAGTTCCGTAACTGCCGAAAGACTGACAAACAAACATTTGTGGAGTTCTTCAGGCAGAAACAGGTCCTTTGTCGGAGGTGGATTGAAAGTGAGTCTGCCCATGTAGAACATGGCAAGCTTGTTGAACTAATCCTGCTTGAGGATGTTAGAAAATGTATCCCAGGCGACATTCGAGCACACCTGGATCAGAGAGGTATCCGTACCCTGGCTGATGCTGGTCCAGTGGCTGACCATTATTCCTTAACTAATAGAAATATAAATTCCAGGTCTTATGCTCCCATGTCCCAGTCCTTCACTTCCTTCAAGCAGCCTACACCAACATCTACACCGGGGTCCCTGCCTCTTGCCATACCGACCCGACCCTCAGGTTCTGCACCATCTACCCCAGGTGAGCCCATGGTCCATGGGACAGGTGGATCTACCCTTACTGGTGAGAGAAACTTTGGTTGTAGGTACTGTAAGAAGCCAGGACATGTCATCAGCGACTGTCTCACGTTAAAGAAAAGAAATTCCTCTCACCAAGGATCCCCCTCTCTTTTGGTCAGGGTGGCCGAGCAATCGGAGAAATTATTGGAGCCCTGTGTCACTGCCCTCAGTCAGACTGTTGCCCTGGATGCTTCCCCCTCTCCTATGATATCAACCATTGAACCATTTTGTTCCCCTGGTTCCTTAGCTCTGGATCAATTCAGTCAACCCACTTCTGTTAAACTCTTGAGAGACACAGGCTCACCCTTATCTCTTGTTACAAAAGAAGCTGCTCCATTCCTGGATTCATGCTATGGTAGCTGGGTGCTTGTGAACGGTTTGACCGGTGGATCGCGTATTCCCCTTTGCCAAGTGTACCTGCGGTCATCCATAAAGTCAGGCTATGT